ACCCCCAGAAAGATTCGTGGTACTCATTTCTGTTAGAGGTTGAGTCGGCCCCAGGGCCATAGTGGGGCTGACCACTAGTGCCAAGGTCAAGAAAGTGTGGATTTATACATCCACACACCCATACACCTTCATGACATAGTGTTTAATTAGTTAAGCACAGGGACAACTTTACATTTTACCTTTAAGTCTTAAGTCAGTAACTTGTGGGGCACCCGGTATATTGATACAATTTTACTTTGAATAGTCCCGTAACATATTCTTGATCTGAATCTGTTACTCAGTTCCCACAATTCAATGCTATGTCTGTGTGTTATTTCCCAGTAGATATCCTATAGACAGGGTGACCCGTGGGACACCCGGTGTAGCGGTACGTTTAATTTCAACGTAAAGGCTCGCATACATCCTTCCGCTGTGGACGTATTTTCTCGTCCAGCCTACCCCACATTGCAACGCACCAACAAGCACTCATATCGTCTGTTCTTTTCCCTTGGCACTACAGCCCCAGTGGGCCTAGGCCTACCTCCATGAACTTCTCCGTTCACTTCGGTTTTTCTAGATCTTACACATTCGGTAGGACTCCTTGGGCGGGTGATCAGCTCGTCGCAAGGCCTCTACCTGTACACAAACACAGAAAAACGCAAACACACAAACTAAACATCCATGCCCTGAGTGGGATTCGAACCCACGATCCCGGTTTCCAAGCGAGCGAAGACACTACATGCCTTAGACCGCTCGGCTACCGTGACCGGCATATCGTCTGTTCACAGTGGTACAAATATGTACGGACGTACCTCACTCTACGCCCACAATTTCTCCTTTCGCATTCGCCATTTGACCGAAAAAATGAGTTCAGCCTCTTCTTGAGTGCGAACATATATATATATATATGTTAGTTATGAGGTGTCTCGTCTGTGAGATTTTATAGCACAGCCCGTAAATCATTCCAGTGCTTCCCAACCGGTGGTGTGCGTACCCTTAGAGGTACGCGAGAGAAGTCTGTGTGTGGGAGTACGTGAACATAACTGCAGTGTCTGAAGTTTTGTTTTTAAACTTTAGCCTACTTATTAATTTTGAAGAAAGGAAATCTATGCTGCCACTTAGCTGTCTGTTTCTCTGTGCCACTCCCATATTAAAAAAAAAAAATAAAAGCAGCCTTAAGAGGTGACCTTGTGTGTGTCTGTGTGTCTGTAAGTGTATCTTCCATAATTTTCTCCTTCTGTATGTTGCTCATGTCGTATCAGATGAAATTAAGGGATTAGTTCTTCCCACAACTTCTTTTACTTGAATAGGGAAAATAGGTGAAGTTTCCATTGTACTTAACTAATTAAGCACTACGCCGTAAAGACGTATGGAGGAGTGGATGTATAAATCTAAGTTATCTTGACCTCGACACTAGTTTGAGGTGAGTGGTCAGCTTCACCCTCCGGCTATCTCCGGGGAAAGGGCCGCAAGTACCCATTGGATAGGAGGCTGGATGGGCCCCAGAGCCAGTCTGGACGACACAGAGAAGAAAAAAATTTTGACCCTACCGAGAATCGAACCCACAAAAAAATTAATGATTCATTCTTAACTTTTTGTATTTTAACTACATTATAAGTTTCCAGTTTGTTGCCGTTTTTAGGCGCGTTCCAAACCCTGCCGAACGCCTACCAATTTCGCTGTCAGTCCATTTGGCCGTGAAACAAAAATAGAGGCTACTCCATCTACCTAAATTTGTTCCTAGACCTGGTCGCCCTCAGTAGAACGTCCAGTGGACATGGTCGAGCCCACTGACTGACAAATGATTATTATGTATATGGTTCATAACAGGAGTTTAGCCAAGATGTATCAGCAACCACTGTCATAATGTCGCATAAGAAGATGGCCTGTACCTGCGTGTGGTGTCACACGCAAGAAGACGGTAGACTTGGCTAAGTACTATTCAAGGAAAGCCCCTCTTATGAACTGAATTCGGTCTGACGTCAGCTAGAATGTCTCTAAGTTCGAAGACCGGAGAGAACTGTGTAATCTAATGAGACAGGAGTCGAGTGCTCGGTCAGCAACACCGGCTGTTTTTTTTGGGGGCGGGGGACCGCCGTTCCCTCGGTCCAGCATCCTCCTCCACATAACGGCACTTGACGTGAATTATGCGACCGCACGTCCATCTCTGTGGACTCGAGTACAGTCCCGTCAAGAGACAACAACATCTCGATATAAAAGTATGAGGAAGAGGCTGTATATTTTTTTGTTTCAGCGAGGTTTTCATTTAACTTACACGTCATGCATTACATCGGCTCTGAATATTTATCTTCCCTTTTCTTAACTTAAACTGTAAAGGTTAAAATGTGTTTCTTCCCTTTGTTTTGTATGCGTACGAAATTACCTTCACACTAAGAAATGGGCAACGAATAAAGGATGTAGGAATCGAGAGCCTTACAGAGGTGATCATGAAGATTTCTAATATTTCTCTCCTAAATTTAACACCAGTATTTTACAGGCATGAAGAAGTTGTTAAAACAGAATTTCCCGTTTTAGACAAGTTTTATTCTCTATTATATAAGTATTTACAAGTAAATACTGAAATTTAATATATAAGGGGCAGAATTTTTCACCTCTCCTATCGTCCAGACCAGCTTTGGGCCCACTCAGCCTCCTATCCAGTGAGTATGGGGGACTCTTTCCCTGGGGGTAAAGCGGCGGGACCGTGAAGTTGATCACTCACCTCGAACTAGCGTCAAGGTACAGAATATCTACTCCCCCACAAGCCTTCATGGCATGGGGTTTAATTAGTGAAGCACAGGAACAACTTCACTTTTTGTATTGAACATCTGCGCAACAAGAATGAGCAATAACCGTCAGCATATCGCCAAACGTTTGCTCGGTATCTCCGCCTGCAATTAGGTGTTTATACTACACGCACTACACAAGTGCACGGAAAGTTTTCGCGTCACGCAGGCGTTAACTGAGAAGACGTGTGCTCTCTGGCTATATGTATAAACTTGCGAATAACTGAGACATATTTCTTTGCCTTCCAGCCATATTCCGGATCAAAATTCGGTATATATTTCACTAGATCATGCAACTTATGGGTTGCTATTTAACAGCTGATATTACAACACATCCCCAACGGTAGAAATACTTCGTTGCTGATTTATTCCCTTCGATCCGTGTTTACCCTACTTCCAGTTTCTACTTGTCACCTAAACTGCGGTTCTGCACATGGCAGGAACCTAAATATCTTTACAGCCTCTCTACACCTACAGTAAGCTATAAAATGTTCCTGTACAGTCACGAAAAGTGCAGTTCTGCACACTGTTGCAGGTCCCTATCAGGCTGTACGGTGGCAGCAGGAACCTAAATAGCTTTACAGCCTCTCTACACCTACAGTAAGCTATAAAATGTTCCTGTACAGTCAAGAGAAAAGTGCAGTTCTGCACACTGTTGCAGGGCCCTATCCGGCTGTACGGTGTCAGCAGGAACCTAAATAGCTTTACAGCCTCTCTACACCTACAGTAAGCTATAAAATTCTCTTAGAGATACACGAAAAGTTTCGCGGTATGTTTTGTTGGCCGCAGATACGTTTCCAAAAAGAGTCTATACCATATCTGATGGACTTCCTGACGTTCCAAAAAATATTCGTGGATACAATTATATTTCAAAGAAATCTTGAGAACTGGCCGACACTCCATACTGTAGCACGCGATCCACAGTTTGAGAAACCTTGTTGTACTTGGTTCTTTCGTACGTCAAAAGAATGCACTATCGTCGCCGAAGGGAAACCTGTCTTTCAGTGTCCTTATTCAACAGCAGATACCATTAGCGTTCAGCATCATGTATCTACCAAAGGCAGGGACCGGAACTTTAGGGACCGGAATCTGTGCTCCATGCGTCAGGGTCCAGTGAACAGAAGAGGCAGAAATCGTGAGATAAACTTGAGTACGGGAAAGAGAGCTAGGAATGTAACTGAAAGTAATGTCGAGTATCTGCTAATTGCATTGCCTAAACATAAGCACCGTTGCATCATGTCACCGAGTCCTTTATGTTGATGTGAAAAAATTGTCTCTAACTTTGAATTAAGGACAAGAATTATAATTTGGAATTGAGATTCTCACAACGGTGAATCTTCAGGGCTGTGATGCAGCGTAGTTTGGCGGAAGTTCGCAGACATTTCGGAGCAATTGAACGAGAACCACAAGTGCTTACAATTTGCTTCTTTCTGGCTGTTACTAGAATTTGTTTTGACTTAGGATTCTCCGTACAGCTCGGATCTTGCCGGTGCCCTCGAAGGGCTGAATTCTGCAGGGCTATGCGTGGTCATATCTCGCAGGATAATCCTCGACAAACGTATTCCTGGGTTTAGGATTCTGATGTAACACTGTGACACCACCTTAACCCTGCTAGAAACAGTTCCTCAGTCCAAGCAAAGACATCAGTGGGGCACACATCAGTTGAATTCTTCAGTAGCGTTTTGTCACGTGATAAAGTGACTACAGACGGGGTCTGGATTAGTAATCGACTCGTGACTACACTTCACAAATCCCTATCACACACGGAATAGTATTCCTAGTCACGGCCTTTACTGCACTGCTTGGTAGCGGCTTCCAACAGTGGACGTACCTCTGCTCCCGGACTCAAGACCTCGCAGGCTGGCGGCCATTTCACACCAAACGCCTACTCTTGTAACTGTCGTCTCAAGACTCTACCGTAATGGCAGCTGCTCCTCGGCACGGACCGTGTAGAAAACACCGCTTCCAAACTTCACTCTACTGGTGGCGTGTTACAGAGCCGTTACCTAGCAATGGCTGTATCACTGGCTCCATAGTCCTTGCTTTGAGCAAATTCGGCACGTTATATGTGGACAGCATATCTCATGTGATACTTCCAATCCGATGGAACCACCAAGAAGTACTATGCCTCTCCATCACCAAGCAGACTGGTGCAGTGGTAAAGCACTAGAGCTTTGATTTGTTTCCGCTGCCTCAGCAGTGTCAGACGTAATGGACTATGTTACATTGACTTACCATCGAGTTCTTCTGCTGTAGAGGGCTGGGCACATAGAAGGAGTTTGGGGTGGCGTCATGAGAAGTGCCGTGACGCCTCATCACAACGACGCTACCCGGCGCTACTGTGGGAGGCGTCATCATCGACACAGCATATCATGATACGGCTGTCCGTCTGTGTCGACATGGTTTGCGTCCTGCTCCTGCAAAAAGTAACAGAAAAACCTACGTCAATCTCTGTACTGGAGGTGGACACAGACGAAGGAAAGAGTCTGCAGTTCATTTCACGGCACTCTATCTCAGAAACCGCAGCGCCGAATGGCAGAATTGGTGAATAAGTGGGAATGGATTAGGAAGGAAGCGGTAAATTGAAGGCTTAAATAAATAAGCATTATGCCATGAGTGAAAATTTAGCTCAATCATTCTTGACCCCAGCACTAGATGGAGATGAGTGGTCAGTTTCACGATCCAGCCGCTTTACCCTCAGTACCCATTACATAGGAGGTTGAGTGGATCCTAGAGACAATCTGCACGCTGTTGATTTGAAAAAATCAGTTGCTAAGGAACGGCTGGTTAAGACACAGCAGGCCGAAAAAGACTTAGCGGGTGCTGGGAAGATGTGTGAATTTCGGAGAGTAGCGGTAGCACTGTAATTGCTTGTAGTTCGGTGTCCTTTGGTAAAACTGCCAAATTAATCGAGTCGCCAATCCAAACCCCGTCTATAGTCACACACAGACACGTGACAATATACGTGTAACACAACCTTCGGGATTAAGCTCACTGACTTCAGCATATTGTTAATTCTGAATGTTTTAAACATTTAAAATAAGAATTAGTGTTAACGTCTCAAATACTTTAAAAAATTATTTAAATTAAATAAAGTATTGGTCAGTATTGTTTGTCCGAGAGATGGCCAAGTTATGGCGGAATATGAAGCTGCATGATTATTTCATGGTTAAAGATTTGATGCAACTGAGAGCACTCGTATGCATTTAATATTATTCAGTAATCAGAGTGTTTATTTTCGCTTTGAAGACATGATGATGTAATCAGTACCTGAGGCTATTCAAACGATAGGATGATTGGTAAATAATGATTTGTGTAGGGATCTGGAAGGAGGCTGCCTTGTCTTACTTCGGGTTCTATCTAGGTATTTGCCTCGAGGGACTGAACAAAGAAAAGAAAGCGTTAGTAAGGCTAACTTGTTTCGCGACAGGATTCAAACCAGATACCTACATAATACAGACACAAGCGGTAGCGTAGCTGGTTAAGACACTACAAGCCAGAAGGTCGCGGGTTTGATTCGCAATGAGGTGGACTTTTTTCAATTTACCTAATCCTTTCAGCCGCACTATGTCTCTGTGGTCGACTCAGCCTCTAACAGAAATGAGTACCAGGCAACTTCTTGGGGCGTAAAGGGCGGCCAGTGCGTGAGGCTGACAACTTTACAGCCATCTGTGAGCCGATTGTCTAGAGAAAATGTGGAAGCCTCGACGTCTTACAACCCTATGGGCCTCCACGGCCTGTTGCGGGTACAGCCCTACATAATACATGTCTTACTCTTTACAGCTCTGATCTGATTTGGACACAAAGGCAATGAGTAACGTTTGGCATAATTTGGATACAAATGGATCCTGTGAAAATGCCGTTACCACAGAGCGTGACTGCGAAACAAAATCACATCCGGTACAGTAATAAACTCGTACAGGCAGTGGCCGTGTTCCTGTGGGGCCTTGAACATACCTTTCAAGGCGTGCTAATGGTCTGTCCGGCTGTTTAGAAAACATTGCTCTTTGAACTTCGGTTTACGGCGGTAAATAACCCGCGCTAGGAGTAGGGACAGCACCGTAGGTATAAGGTCGGACTACGGGCTGGACGGCCGAATTCGATTCCCGGCAGGACAAAATTCTTCTCTTCTCAATAGCTCCCAGATAGATTCTGGGGCCGAACCATCCTCATATTCAATGGGTACCGGGGGTGTTATGGCCGGGCTTGAAACTGACTGCTCTTCTCTATACAGTGTTCAGATCAAGAATTGTGGAGCTATACCTCCAATCCCCAATGCCTTTATGACATAGTGCTTAATTAAGTCAACACGGAAAATATTAACTTACATAGCCCAACGCTACGTCCGTATTTACACGATACTATACGCTATACGCAAATAGGGTTTAAAGACTACGGTCTTCTGGGTCGTAACGCCGTGTAGTTTGGACAGTCCGACGTTTCGGAGGAACATATCACCTCCATCTGCAGTGTCGAAAAGTGAGCAACACAGTAAACTATTACAAGCAGGTGGCAAAAGAAGTACTTTCTCCTGGGGTAATGCAGCTGGAACGTGAAACTAATCATTCACTTCCATCCAATGGTGAGATTAAGAACCAATAGATCTATACCACCATTCCCCATGCACATTCATCTTACAGTGATTAATTAAGCTTAATTAAGCATACTGGCAACTTTACTTTGTTGTGTTGGAACTGAAGTTATAATAGCGATGTCTATGAAGAGAACCGTCTTCTGAATTGTAATGATGTGTAGTTCGTGGACAGTCTGACGTTTCGGAGGAAAATATCGCCTCCATCTTCAGGGCTGAAATGTAATCCAAGAAACAGACCAGCACAAAAATCGACAAAGTACTTCCCTGGGGTGTTAATGCAGCCGGGACGTAAAACTGACAATTCACTTCCATCTAGTAGCAACATTAAGAATCAGTGGAGACATACAATCATTCCCCAATGCCTTCAAGTCATAGCGCTTAATTAAGCACAGGAGTAACTTCAGTGTGTCCGGGTTCAGGTTCTCACAGCTGTGATTATGAAGAGCCCGGTGCTCTGGCTTGTATCGGCCTGACATTTCGCTGGTACATGTCGATTCCATCTCCATCGTTGCTCAACTTCTTGCAGAGTTTGACACCTCTTTCAACACCATAAAACTACCTACCATAAATGCCAAAGCTGCTCAGGGATAAATTCGGCTGCACAGAAACTTTGGTAAAATGACCTTGAATCAACAATAGCAATATGTCATATGGAAGTTCATGCTTTCCTTCAAACACAGGTATGTCACATCTGATGCCATCTTTTCACAGAAACACTGTACTAATTGATGAACAAAGAGCCGACCTCTTCGACTATAGGGATTTTAATGCCGATCTTGTCTGTTCTAGAGATGACGGGAAAGAAATAATCCCATGATGTGTATTCTCCGTGCATAGATTCGAAATCCAGACCTCTTGAATATGCAACAATTATTCATTACAGCCCACGAAAACAAACAGATCATTGGTGACGTGCTGTAAATATAACTGTAAGAACGTCACATTAGAACCGCAACTTGTCAGTGAGATAATGTATTCCTTTAACATGTAAAGTACCTGACTATGTATGTTTGTACCTTGCTACAACTATAGTAGCTTAAATAGTACTCAAACAAAAGTGAAATTGAAACCCAGAGCATAAATTTCTACACCATTAAAGTCTTTAAGGAATGTTGACTTCTTAGAGATTGCTTTTGAAGCAAGTTGATAACTGTAAAGTATATTAAACAAGCAGACAAGAACATTTACGATACTTGAGTATGTTCAACACATTTTAAATATTCACACACAGCGTAAGGATGGAATTTCTTTTGTTTCTGGTTAGAGTACAAATATTAAAATTACTAGAAAATAGACCAAATACTAGATCTATGCGGATCTGGAGACGAAGAGAGAAAACCTTGGCTGTACTGAGAATCCAATCACAATCATCGAGCCCATAGCCAGTTACGAGTACTACTTTTCGGGATGTAACGCCATATAATCCGGTAGAAGTTCCGCGACGTTTCGGAGGAGCGACCTGCATCTTCAATGACAAAAATTCACGAAAACAGAATAGATCACTATATGACGCAGTGCAAGGACCGAGAAGGCCCACACCTTATACATTCAAGTCAAGAAAATAATAGAAGTTCCTCGACGTTTCGGAAGAGCGATTTGCATCTTTAATGTCGAAGAGTAAGTCAAGAAGACGGCCGTCAAAAACAGGCGAAGAACTCAAACTATGTTTTACGCTGGTTATTTATTTGCTTTAATACTTCTACCCTGAAAAGGGAGGCAGGATATTCCTACAAGGTATCACATCCCGAGCTATAGTATTCTTCATAATTATAGCTCTGAGAACCTCAGATCCAAGGTAGATAGTTATATTATCGACTGAGATAAGTATTTTATTGCATACCTTACAAAATGTTAAATTCATGAAGTTCAGACGTAATATTTGAGGCTTTCACGGCGGTGACTATGAAGAAAGCAGTNAATGGTTATGTGAATTTTGAAACGTTAGTGTTAAGTAATGTTGGGGGTGGGGTACCTTTGGGGAGAAGTTCATGGTTCGTTTACTGGGCAGTAACTCGTGATGTCAGTTGGAAAGCGCAGCATTCAACATGGCGCGATAGGGGACTCACGACTGGTAGGCACATGGACAGAAAATGGCCAGCCACACTCGAACGTTGACCCGAAGCAGCTTCGTTACCAGGCCTGCAGTCAAGTAAGAGTGGCTTATGTACCACTTAAGATGTACAATAGTGAGAACTACTATTTCCTGGGATGTAACATATACTATTGACAGTTTACTGACGTTTCAGAGGAACGTACCGCCCCCTTCTTAGGGTCAAATATTCAGAAGTGCAAAAGTAAGTTCACAGAAGTTTATATTCCAACTCGTCATGAAAATACAAAGGACATAAATTCCAAAGGAAAATATTTCCAAATCTCTGCATTTTTTTAATTTTATAACAAGAGATTCGTGTTCTGTATATATGAATATAAAGTCATATGAATTATACAAAACTGAAAATTACACAACGAAAATTTCTGTACGTGTGTTTTGATTCAATTTGCAGAGGTCTGCTTGTTTCTTTCTTATCTGACTCTTCTGCTCTGAAGATGAAGCCAGTGCGGTCCTCATAAAGATCGGCAAATCTCTATTGGCTAATATGACGTAACCCAAACAAAGCATTTATTCTTCCTCGTTGCTTCTTTGGTTTACACTTTGATCCTGAAAACAGAGGCAAGATTTTCCTCCGAAGTGTCAGAGAACTCTTCAACCCTGAAGAAAGAGACACTAATTCCAGAACGTCGGCACACTCCTACCAGACTACCTGCATCACTTCTATGAAGGCACTACTGTTCATACCGCCATGAGAACCTTGTGTCCAACAA